GGCTGAGATCTGAGGACTGCCAGCCTGGGCAGGAAAGTCTGTAAGACTCTCCAGTTAACCACCAAAAAGCCAGAAATGGAGCTATGGCTCAGGTGTAGAGCACTAGTCTTGAGCACAAAAGCTCAGGAACAGCTGGGCGCTGGTGGCTCACGCCTGTAATCCTAGCTACTCAGGAGGCTGAGATCTGAGGATCATGATTCAAAGCCAGCCCAGGCAGGAAAGTCTGTGAGACTCATTTCCAATTAACCACCAGAACACTGGAAGTGGCACTGTGGCTTAAGTGGCAGAGCGCTAACCTTGAGCTGAAGAGCTCAGGGACAGCACTGAGGCCCAGAGATCAAGCCCCACTGCCAACACACACACCTACACCATTAGCTCACAAACACACCAAAAGCTTAAGGACAGTGTCCAGGCAGGCTCTGAGTTTAAGTCCCAGGACGGGCGTGGGGATGGGGTGGGGAGAGAGAAAGAGAGAGAAGGGGAGGAGGGAGGAAAGGAAGAGAGAGAGAGAGAACAGTACAGTGCTAAGAGAGGGATTTTCTATCCAGCATCCATCCCCACAAAACTTCAGACCTTAGTATTTGTCTCTTGCTCCTCAGTTTGGAGATTGTTCACCACTGAGTTGCTAATTGATTGGCAATGATATAATGCACCTGTGAGAGAAAAGTGATTATATGTTAAGGAATAACGCTTATTGATAATTAAGTGTTTCATTGCTTCTTTGCTTCCCCAAATGGAATAAATAAATATTTTACACATAATCAAGTTTGTTTCCTCTATTCAGGCCAAACAGACAGAGATATTGAAATGATATAGATCTTTAAAATACTGCAAATGAGTCCTGACAGGGAACAGTTGTTAACTAGGCATCCCAGGTACACAGGTTTGACATGTAGGCAATCTCCTTTCATCAGGAAAATCATTTTTGTGGTACTCACATTTTGAGTCTTGTAGGGTTAGCGAAGAGACCATAGGGAGACCTGCCCTGCCCTTCCCCTGTAGCAGTCTGCATTTTAATTCCAGTCTCTGAGCTCTGCTTAGTGGCACAGAGTGGAAAAATGGGGTCAGAGAGGGTCTTGAAGTACAGGGACCCTAGAGTCTATGAAGATGTTGAGTGGCTGCAGAAACACAGCTTTTGTATCTGGGAGCTCCCAACCTGGCCCTATGGCTCTTTGACTCACCCTGGCCTCCATTCCAGGACCAAGTACACATGCTTAGCTGTGAAGGGGCTCTGAACCAGGCTATGCTCTGTCTCTCAGAGCTGTGTCCTTCAATAACAACTGGCTTTGTCTTCCTTGCAGTAGCCAACATAGGCTTTGATCATTCTCCCACATACTCCTGCCTTTGGTCTAGAAGGAGTTAGATTGGCCAAATCAGCAGGCCTGGCACAGCCGAAACCTGTCACCTCACTGCATGAGCGTCCTGTGGCTGCCATAACCAATTACCACAAATTTGGTAGCTTAAAAGCATAGAAATCAATTCTCTCACAGTTCTGGAGGCCAGGGCTATGTTCCCTGCAAAAGCTCTGTGGGGCCAAGCATGGTAATAATTCTAGCTACTTGTGTGTCTGAAATGAGGAAGATCATTGTTTGATGCCAGCAGAGCAGAAATGTCTCAGGACCTCATCTTGACCAGTAAAACTGTGGGTACAATGGAATATGCCTGTCATTTTAGCTATGCAAGAAATGTAAATTGGAGGATCTTTGTTCAGGCTGACTAGTGGTGGGAGGGAAGCAAAAAGGGCTAGAGATATAGCTCAATTGATAGAACACCTCCTTGGGCAACATAAGGCCCTGAGTTCAAATCGCAGAACGACTTCAAAAAAAATTCTGTGGGCCAGTCATTCTTACCCCTTCAGCACATCTAGCTGCTCCCACTGAATTCAACACATGGCGACATCTCTGCCTACCTCTGCCTCCCCATGGCCTTCCTCATGCACTTCAAGTGTTTCTCTGTGCCTCAGTCTCCCTCTCCTCAAGAGAAGTCTCCCTCTTAGTCTCCTTCTCAGTCTCCTTCTCTTATAAGCACAACTGTCATTAGCTACTGGGCATGCCCTAAATCCATCCACCACGATCTCTTTCAGGATCATTGATGTTAATTACATTGGCAGAAACCTTTTTTCCAAATAAGATAAGGTTCTTGAGTTCCAGAAGTTAGACACAGGTACCTATTTGGAAGGTCTATATTTGACCTGTTATACTCACCATAACTAGCATAGGGGACCCCAAAATAAGTGGCCCAAGTAATACCCACCAGCTAAAAAAGTTACAATGGGGTAGAACTGTCCCTGAGGGGTCCCCTGACTCAGCCTTTTGGGGAACAAATTGCTAAAGAGAGTTTGGGGGAACAAATTGCTAAAGAGGGTGAATTGTAGGAAGAGGCCTGTTGATCTCTGTGTCCTCCAGTGCTGGGACTGGTCAATGCAGGAGGGGTTGAATCAGTCTTGAGGCATACCTCAGTGATGGAGGTGCTTAGCAAGGTGCTTAGATCCCAGAAGTACTGAAAGGGCTCCTTTAACCATTTACTTTATATGTAGTATGCGCTTGAGGGTCATCTTCATCTCAAGATACCCACCAAGCCCTAGCCCTGCCTTGCTTGAAGTTGGTACTGGCCTCTTCCTTTCTGGATCCTCTAGAACCCCCTCCCAGTGGACATTTCAAAGGGCAGTGGGTCTTCATCCCTTCTTGTAGGGCCAGGTAGAGTCTGTTCTGTAGGAGGATGGACAGGAAGAAGGGGATGAACCAAAGTGATGCAGGTCCCTGCTTAAAGTAGAGCATAGCCCGCCTGCATGGTGTAAAAGCCTCTCCCCCTCAGCCTCCTAAAATGCTCCAGAAGGAGAAGCAAGCACTAACACCCCAAGAGAGATACTTGGGCACTGTCTCTGGATTTGACACTCATCCAGCTCTGCAGTAACAGATGAGACCAAGGGCCCAGGAGACACCCAAAGAGAGGGAGCAGTCAGTGCTGTAGCTTTGTCTCCAGGGACCTGAATTAGGAAGCATGGTGGAGGAGGACCAGCATATAAACTAGTGGACTGGTTTTTTGTGGTGGGGAGAGGCTCATTTCATACATCACATCTCATGTCTGTTTTGGACCTCAGAGACCCAACTTTTACCAAGTAACATTGGGAAACTCACCAATGTTTCAGCCCCTGAAGCAGATACTCTTGTGTCCTCCTTTATGTCTAATATCCGCCTTACATGTCTGAACAAGCTGGGCTGTGCATTCTGGGAACATAGTAATGAACAACAGACACTGCCGATCATGACTACATTTGTGTGCTGTTCCTAGGCTTCTGTTTTACTGTTGTTTGGGAATAGGGAGTGGCCACCTTTTCCCAGAGACTCTTCTAGAGCCTGTCCATGCTATGATGTAAAAGCTCCATATATCAATTTCCTGAGGTCTCCTGGTATTCCTGAGTTAGATCTATGAGCCAGAGGGGCTTGAAAATTCCCTCTTAACCTAAGGTTGCTGGGACCCAAAGTAGACACTCATTGACAGGAAGAACTAACATACCAGATCATCCATTCAGATTTTTGGCTTCCCACTTGGTGTATCTGGCTTTTGTGTTTGTGTGTTTGGGGAGAAGATTGTTTTAGTTGGTTTAGGCTACATAGCAAAGCACCATGGTTCATAAACAGCAGAAGTTTCTCATAGTTCTGGAGGTCAGAGGTCAGAGATCAAGGTATCAATGTGGGCAGTTCTTCCTGGCTTACAGAGAGCCACCTTCTTATTGTAACCTTACTTCACAGAGAGAGAGACAAAACAAGCTACCTCGTGGCTTTTTGTAAGGGCACTGTTCCCAAGCACAAGAGCTCCATCTTCATGACCAAAAGGTTCCTCTTCCTAACAGCCCCACGGCTCTGGGAGGTAGGGTTTCAACATATGAATCCTAAGGATTAAGGGATGAAACAAAATTCAGCCCATAGCAGAGAGCCTTGAAAGTGCTGATTTGGGTTGTGATCTGAGGTGTGTCTAACCTCATACCACTTTAATTTATAGGTACACAATGCCCAGCCCAGAGCTGGGGAGTGACTCCCCCGGTTATAAATAGATGCCTGGTCAGAACTGGAACCCAGGCCCTAGCCTCCTCAGCACATCTGTACCTCTGCCTGTGTCCCCTCCCATGCTAGTGCTAACCCGGCAGCTGTGCTCCATGTGAGGTGGGGTATACCCCGTGTGTGGGGCCACATGGTACCGCAGTGATTACCGAGTGGGGTCACAGATGGGGCCACATGCTGACAGCGCTGTCAGGGGTGGGAAGAGAAGAAAGGAAGGGGCCGGAGGGTGGAGAGAGGTACTCAGGATGCCGAGCAGCGGTCGCCTGCCAGAATCCTTCAGTGCAGCTTGTCTAGCAAAGCCAGTCTCCAGCCGAGTAAATACAGTGCATAGCTGACGGGCTGACAGCGGGTATCACACAGTCTTAAACTGCCTCAAATCCACAGCGCTTTTGAAGCAGCAATAGAGAAAGGATGCCCGTGCAGAACAGAGGCCTGCAACTTTTAATAGTTTCTTCCAGGCCTCAGGATGTCCTGATGAGGTATTAGAGGAAGTAATTCAGGAAGAAAAGGACAAATAACTGCCTCCGTCTGGAGGCCATCCCGAGCATTGGCCCTTGCAGCTCACAGAACGGGCCAGCATGGCTCAGCAGTGATTCCCCCAGCTGTCATTAGCTCACCCTTCTGCCTCCTCCAACAGAGCTACAAGGGTCTGACCCTTGTAAATAGCAGACAAGTAAATTTCTTGTTTGCTTGGGGGCAAATGTAAGCCACACAGTGCTCACTGCTTAGGAGTGAAATCGCTAACAGTTTCTCACTGTGAAGGGTGCTATGTACAAATTAGAATACATTCCCTGGACCTCCAGGCCATCTATCCCAGGGACCTGCCTCCCCTGCCTATTCCCAAAATGAGAAGCCTCTTCACAAAAAGACAGAGCTGACCTGTGAGAACCAAACTCACCCCTCTTCTCTCCTGTTTTCTCTCTTCCCTCTTTCCTTTAGGGTTTGGCTTTGTCACTTTTGAGAATGAAGATGTTGTGGAGAAAGTCTGTGAGATCCATTTCCATGAAATCAATAATAAGATGGTAAGTCTTGGGAGGGACAGCCCTTCCCCTGTGTGCACACACCTGTCTAGCAGATCAGTGTAGCCCCAGCATCTCGGGTGCTATGGGCAAGGGTGGGCATGAAGACTAGACTCAGGGTTCAGCTGTGAGAGAAGTTGCTTAGAACAGGTGCCAACATATTTCTTTTTAAAAGGCCAAATGGTAAGTAGCTTCTGCTTTGTGAATGGGTATCACAACTACTCTTGTGGTGTTGGGGCCATAGGTACATGAATTAATGGGGCAGTGTTTCAGTGAAGCTGTGTTTGTGGACACTAAAATTGAAACTTCCTTGGTGCTGGAGTAGGCAAGCACACTACCATTGTGCTACATGGCTAACCCACAAAATTAAGTATTTTACAACTGTTTAAAAATATTTTAGAAAAGAAAAAAAATTTTTTTAATTCTTAGACGTAACAGAAACAGACCAGAATATCTGAATGTGGCTTGAGGGGTCATAGTTTTTTGACCCCTGGTTTCAGATATTTTTGCCTTGGAGGAATATATTCTAGATAAGAAGTTTACCAAGCTAATTCTTTTTTGGGTAATGAGCAAAACACACACATGCACACACACACACACACACACACACACACCTCCATACAATCAGTGTGGTATTTTCTGCCCTCATGATCAGATGGTTCCTTATACCCTTTAAAGTTTGGCTTCCTGCCAGAGCAACCTCAAGAGGAAGGCAGATTGGATGTTTATTGAATTCTGGGGAGCCAAGTTAGCCTCCCTGGAAAGTGGCCACTAGAGGGCGCCATGCCACATATGGCATGTGCCTCAGCACTGTCAAGTAGAATAGGGGGTGAGAAACCCCTTCTTTGTCAATTTCAGGAAAGAGAGAGAGAGAGAGCTTGGCAGGTGGTTTTGGAGCCATCCACAGGTCCTCTGGAGCACAAACATTTTGGTTGGCCAGCAAAGCCTCCAGCGCTGAGAGAAGAGAACAGGCAAATTTGTGTTTCAGTCGCAGCTGTGACTTTGATATTTTCTCCCTTTTGTCAAAACATTCCTTGCTTCTGAAACATGCATTCAGATGTGCATTGTATATTGGTCTGATATGTGTTCACCAACTTTAAATTCAATAATAGAGCTTTTAGTGTGGATAAGATCAAAGCAATCTGCTTAGCATGTGGTGCTACAGGCCTGATTCAATATTTGACTTGCTAATTTTTTCCCAGGGCACTAAAATAATATTGTTCATATTGTTCCTAGCCATCATATGCATCTGAAATGAAAATACTCTTTTTTTTGCATACTGTATGTCAGAGGCATCCGTGCAGACATTAAAATAGTATAAGGCAGATAAATGTGTGGGAATGACGCAGGTCCTTTGTATGCTTTGTCTGTCCTCCAAATGCCATTGCCTTCTAGTTGGTGTTCTCTCTCTCTCTTCTCTCTCTCTCTCCTTGCTATTTTTAAAAGTAGAGAGATGGAGAACTTACACATGAGCATAGTACCCAGATGCTTCGTTTATCCTAGGCAGAGCATGCTATTGACAGGCTCCAGAGAGGCCACAGGGCCCTTGTGGGGATTGGAAGAGGCAGTGGGAAGTGCAGGCTAGGACTTAATGGATCATGGGGAGAGTTCTGATGCAAGCAAGACCCCCACTCTCTATTCTGCTTCAGATGCAGGTGTTCATTCTTCACTATTGATGGCTTAGAAACAAGCATGAGACATGGGTGGGGCAGGCTTTATCCAGAGGGGGAACTGAGGTCTGGAGCTTGCCGAAGTACTACCTAGATAACGAAGGAACATAGATAGGCCTTGAGCTTACTGGACATTCATCTAGACAGACAACTGTCTGAACTTAGGTTGGAAAGTCACTTGGGGAAGTGACTTAAGAATGGAGGTCGAGTTCCAGTTTCCTCTTCTGTTGGAAGGCAGAGAGGTTGGCAGCCATTTCCCAAGTCATTTAACATTGATTGGGATCGTCTCTTCCACCTGGGTGGAGGCTGAGTATGACCATGTAGGTGTCCCTGGTGACTCTGGTGTGACTTTCAATTTGCCTTTGTACCCAGGGCTGGTCCTAGTTCTTCAAGAGATAAGCAAAAGATGGAAGAAAAGAAGAGGAAAAGATGGGGGCAGAGGGGTTAGGACGCTAAGCTTTGGCAAGGTAGCAGTCTAGGTTCCTAGCCTAGACACACCAGTTTTGAAGGCTACAGTTCAGAGCATCCTCGGTGGGGACCTGGGGTAGGTCACTGGAGGTCCAATTAAACAGGGCTGAACCACCTCCCGGGGCTGTTGGACGTTTAGCTAAGCACAGTGCCTGCCCCAGGATGTGCTCATAACCATTAGCTCTTGCTAACTATTGCATCACCATTGTCTTTGAAACCTCTCTTTCCAGCCAGCTCCCTCCACTCTGAAGAAGGGTGAAACTTTTGGTAGCAGAGCCTGAATAGAAAATGCAATTCAGCTATGCTATGGGCAGAATTCAAATGAGAGAACTAGAAAGACCAACAACTCTGAGATCACCAGACAGGAGTCCAGGCAGCTGTTAGTGCAACTGGAAAGGCCAGTCTCCTCCAACCATCACAACTTCTGTGGGCTTTGGCAGGAGCCAGCAGATAGCAGCGCCCAGCATCATGGATGTGACTAACGTTTTCTCATATTCACAGACAGGTCTTACCACCAGAGTCACAGAGATAGTTCTCAGTTGAACCCTCAAGTCTATACTTCTTCTGCAGACCAAAAGGGACTTTAAAGAATGTCTAATCCAGGCACTGGTGGCTCACACCTATAATTCTAGCTACTCACGAGGCTGAGATCTCAGAATCAAGGTTCAGAGCTAACTGGGGCAAAAAAAAAAAAAAATCGATGAGACAGTTATCTCCAATAAGCTACTCAGTGCCAGAAGTGGCACTGTGGTTCAGTGGTAAGTGCTAAGTTTGAGCAAAAAGAAGCTCAGGGATAGTGCCCAAGCCCAGAATTCAAGCCCCAAGACCATCAAAGAAAAAGAATGTTAGGCTGGCCTATAGCCCCTCTATGGCCACATTCGAATACTGCTGCCTGAGGCCTAATGTAGGATATCTGGTTCCTAGACTTCCTAGGGGAAAGGCAGAGGAGACAGGCTCACCTGGCCGCATTCCTGGCTAGGGAGAAGGGCCAAATTTGCAGTTAGGGGTTTTAGTTAGTCACAGACTAGATCCAAGAGAAGCAGGTGTACAGTGAGCAGGGTGTGGGGGAGGAGAGAACTGTCTGCCAATCAAGCTCAGGGTACAACCCTTAAGAGCTAAGACTCAGCCCCAGCCAGAGTGAAATGCAGACTTGACTCTTTATCCACAAACACACAAAAGCAGGCATGGAACTGCCTCGTGACCCTCTGGCCACTCTGCAAGGCCCCATGCAAGTTCAGCTAATAATGCCCCCCACCATGTCCCCCTGATTGAAGCAGCCCCTGAACAGCAGGGACACTTGCTGATTAGTCGCCAGAGCCCGGCCTCCACGCGGCCTCCTGAGGAGCCAGGCAGCTGCAGGGAGGTAGAAACTGACAAAGAGCCAGCTCTGGGTTTCCTCAGAGGCCTGGTTTAGCCTCTACCATTGAAGTAATGCCAGGGAAGAAAAGCTACCCTCACTGGATGAGAATTTGGGGTACAGTGTGAGACGTGCTGGGTAGAACCTTTTCCTAGATGTCGAACACAGGAACTGGGGGTTACAGGTGCTGTACTAACACTTTGCAAAGTGATGCAAAGTTTCCTTCCTCACAGCCTTCTGTGCGAGTCCCAGTCCATTCCCCACAGGCCCTGGAGCTCCATGGTGGGCCAGTCATTAGTGGCAGAGGTGGGATGTGACTCTGTGCTGCTCTACTCCCTAAACCCTATGCTAGGAGAACTATGTGTGTATTTATCTTGCTGCCAGCTCAGTCAAGCATAATACATGAAAAATCTGAATGGACTTGATGAGCAACCATAAGGAAGAGTTTTTTATTTGCCTCATATAAGCATTACTAAAGGATTCTTTTATATAGTCTTTTACTTACTCCTTTGAGGTTATCAGACTTACATGACTAAGCAAATTGGGGTACAGTGCGGCTCACATGTTGGAAGGAAGCACGGACGCTGCTGGTCAGTGTTGGGCTTAGCCCTACGAGGCGGGAGAGCCTCTGAGAGCCAAGTGAGAATGCAGAGTCTCAGGGCCCTCCAGTCAGATCTGTGTGCTGACAGATCCCCAGTGATTTGTGGGCACATTAAAGTCTGAGAAGCACCAGGCAAGGATCACTGCTAATGATGGATAACGTGGGAACTTGGCTCATAAATCTAGCAGCCAAAGGCAGGTATCTGGGACAGGGAAGAGTGTGGAGTGGGGGCAAGCCCTGCCTGATGGGCCAGGCAGCTGGATCCCTAGGCCAAGCCAGGGCCCTCAGCACCACTCCCTACTCCCTGTATGGTCAGATGGAGACCAGGTATCCCCGTGCCGCAGCTTTGAACCAGCATGCCCTTGCCTCTGAGGGTCATAGAAGAGTGTGAGACACAAGAAGCCAGTGATGGCCTGGATCCTCCTAAGTGACAAGAAAATGACCTACTGGCCATTTGTATTTATCTATTTATATTGTATTGGTGCTGGAGCTGGAGCTCAAGGCTAGCACACTACCATTTGAGCCACAGCTCCACTCTGGCTATTTGCTAGTTAATTGGAAATGAGTCTCATAGATTTTCTTGCCCATGCTGGTGTCAAACCATGATCCTCAGATCTCAACCTCCTCAGTAGCTGGGATTACAGGAGTGATCACCATTGTCTGGCTCCTACAGAGTCATTTAGAGGCACCAAGAGTTTTGAAATCCAGCTGACCCATTATCTGTTATACCCATTATCTGACCATTAATGAATCCCACACCTGTCTGCATCTGCTTCTCCTCTTCAAAATGGGGACGCAGAATGGTAGATAGAGGCCTTTTGCAGTTTATCTGAAGCAGAGGTTCAGTTTCTGGCCTTGAGGTTTCTCCTGTCTGCTCTGTGGTCAAGTATATAATCTGGGACGTTGG